CAGAAATCTCCATGATGAAGAGACTAGATCAACTTTGTTGTTGTGTTGTTTGTTTCCCGAAGATTTCGATACTCCTGTGGAGGAGTTAGTGAGGTACGGTTGGGGCTTGAGAATGTTTAACAAAGTGGATACTATAAGAAAAGCAAGAAACAGGTTGAACACATGCATTGAGCGACTCATACATGCTAATTTGTTAATTCAAAGTGAGAAAGTTGGTTATGTCAAGATGCACGATCTAGTGCGTGCTTTTGTTTTAGACATGTGTTCTGAAGGCGAACATGCTTCAGTTATCGGTGATATGTCAAAGTGGCCTGCAAAACCTGTGAGCGATTTTTGCAAAAGAATTTTAATAACATGCACAGGAATGTCTGAGTTTCCTAGAGATCGTAAATATCCAAACCTCTTGTTATTGAAGCTTATGAATGGAGAGAAGTCGTTTCCTGAAGACTTTTATCAAGAAATGGAGAAACTTGAAGTAATAGTGTATGAAAGAATGACGTATCCATTGATTCCCATATCACAATATTCGAGTAATCTTCGAATGCTAAGTATCCATGAATGCCCATTTATGTTTGATTGCTCTCCTGTTGGTGATCTTTTGAACTTGGAATTGCTTCRTTTTTCCTATTGCAAAATAGAAAAGTTACCATCCACAATTGGAAATTTGAAGGAGCTAAAGTTACTTGAGTTCACAGGCTGTAGTAATCTTTGTATTCATGATGGTGTCTTGAAAAGTTTGGTCAAACTTGAAGAGCTTTACATGCGTGGGGTTAGACGACATGCTGATGGTGATGAATTAGTGGAGTGTTMAAAAAACCTTGATGCAATAGAAATTGAGTTTTTTGGTGATAATGCTTTGCCAAAGAATATGTCATTTGGGAAACTTGAATGGTTCCAGATCTCTTTGGGATGCTCTTTAGATGATTATGATCTCCAAAACAAAGATTCACTCGAAAACACATTATGTTTGGTGACCAACAAATGTGAACTTTTGGATTCTAGGGTGAATGATTTGTTTGGAAAAACAAAGGTGCTTSWTTTACAAGTGGATGGTATAAATGATCTTGGAGATTGTTTAGGGGAATCCTTGCATCGTTTTGGATGCCCATTTTTCAGTTTAAAAGTCCTTCATATTTGTRAGTGTGCACATTTGAGATACCTCTTCACAGTCCATGTGGCAAATGGTCTGAATCAGCTTGAGCACCTCAAAATTATCAAGTGCCCTGCATTGGAAACACTTATAGATGATGAGAATTGTGAAGTTGAGGTCATTAAATTTCCAGCTCTAAAGTTTCTATTTTTGATTAATCTACCAACGCTAATGAGTTTGGGCAAGCTGGGTGGCAACGTTATTGAGTTCCCACAACTGGAAGAATTGGAACTTGATAACCTTCCAAATTTCACTAGCATTTATCAAGATTTTCTAAAGAAAGAGGTACATATGTTTTAGTTAACGTAAAAGTTATAGTAATAAACTTCAATTTTCTAGTAGATTGAGTTAGTAATAGAAGTCACAATATTACTTGATTTGAATGTAGTTATTTGATTATGATGCAGGTTATGAGTTCTAAGTTGAAGGATTTGACAATTATGAAGATGAAGAAGTTGAAGGAGATATGGCCAAGTCAATATTTGAGTAGTAACGAKGTTAGTCAATTGAGAAAGATTCAAGTGAAAAAATGTGATAGTCTTGTGAACTTGTTTCCAAGCAATCCAATGTCGTTGTTGTATCATCTGGAACAACTTAGAGTTTCCGAATGTGGTTCCATTGATGTGTTATTCAACATTGACTTGGGATCATGTGTTGGCGAAATTGAGCAAGGGAACAACAACTTGAGATCTATTACAGCAATTGAATTAAGGAAACTTAGAGAGGTTTGGAGGGTGAAAGGAGTAGTCAACTCTAGTCTCCCCATTCTTGGCTTTCAAAGTGTTGAATGCATAGTGATAAGAGAATGCAAGATGTTAAGAAATGTATTCACACCTACCACCTCAAATTTTGACATGAGGGCACTTAAGGAGATTACTATAGATGACATTGATGGTTGGGGAGAAAATAAAAGCAACAATGAAGAGGTATGTTGTGTCATCCTAACTTTCAGTTTCATCATAAAATTGTTGATGCAATTTAGTTATTGTTAAACGAATTTGCTAATTACATTTGTTGTTGGAATTAATATATGCATATTAATGTTACAACCAATCAAGAGATATCAGAAGTGGATGATGATATTCATAATGTTGCATTCCCATCTTATCTCGTGCATAATTTGCATCAACTTCATACGCTTAAGTTACTTTATTTTGATAAGGTGGAGGTGGTGTTTAAGGTAGAGAGTTCAAGTTGTAGAAAGTTGGCAACAACTCAGAATAATCACCAACCACAACTTCCCCCTCACCTCAAGGATCTGGAATTACGTGGTCTGAAGAGGATGACTCATGTGTGGAAGTACGATTGGAACCAATTCTTTGTTTCTCAACTAGAACCAAAATCTTCTTCATTCATTAATATCACGAGGATAACCCTTGGATCATGTGACCGTATAAAGTACTTATTCTCTCCTCTCATGGCCAAACTTCTATCCAACTTAATTCGCATCACAATATGGTCGTGTGATGCTATGGAAGAGGTTGTTTCTAACATAGACGATAAATATGAAGAAATGGCTACGTCTATATCTTGCCACACAAATACCACTTTCTTCCCGCGTTTAGAAAATCTTGAACTTGGTTATTTACCATGTCTAAAGCGTATCAATGGTGTTGGTAACAGCTGCRGGGGCAAGAAACTYTTGACTTCCACTRTTATTGCTTCTTCTGTTTATGATAAATTMCAGGTATAGTTTCGTTGTTTATCACTATCATGTGAAAATTTAACTATTTACTTCAAATTTTGTATTTATCTGTAAATGTGCTATCRATTGTATATTTYATGATCTTCTTTAATATTYGCTTGTGGCATACCATATCTCAATTGATTGACTTAATTTCTTTTGTCATGTATCGTAGTGTTATCAAGTTGGTGGAGCATATTGGTCCTCTTGCCAATACGCGAAAACAATACATATACAGAAATGTGATGMCTTGTTAACTCTGATCCCATCCCATGCKGTTGGACATATGCCAAAGCTTGAAAAGTTGCTGGTAGTATCGTGCACATCAATGAGGCAGATATTTGAAATTGAAGGGGTCAACGAGGACGTTGGTGACAATGCTAATATTGGTGAAGGAARTGGTGAYACGGTTACAATCCYAACGCCRATAAATATGACTTCACTTGAATTGCCCAATCTAAAAACMTTGTATATTGYCGGATGCCACAGTTTGAAATATATATTCAYGACTTCTGTACTTGAGAGCCTTAAGAAACTCCAAGAGTTGGAGATACGTGATTGCTCTGCAATACAAGTGATTGTGAAGCAGGAAGACAATGGAGAGCACATATTAGGATTGGAAGATGTGGTCTTCCCTCGTCTTACGACCCTTACATTAGTTGGTTTACCAAATCTCAAGGGGTTCTTCTTGGAGAAGAATGACTTCCATTGGCCATTATTGGATAAGGTTGAGATCTACCGTTGTCCGCAAATGATGATTTTCACTTCTGGTCGCTCGATGGCTTCGAAACTGAAATACATACATACAGGTGTAGGCAAACATAGTCTTGAATGTGGCCTCAACTTTGATTGGACTAATGCACCACATGAGGTAAAATATGTTGTTACATGGTTCATTGAACTATAAAATTAATTACTTACTAACCTCTAGTTGTAACATGTGCCTTCCACAACTAATTAACATTCTTTTAGTTTTTATCTGTGTGGCTGACCGATGTATGTCTTTTTCTTAATAGGGTCAACTCTGTAAGTCAAGTACCTGCTCGACTGGTGCAGATATAATAGAGTTACTTCAATTCCCTTGGTCTTTTTCCAACTTAGTYGAAGTAGATATAAATTATTTTCACAGTAAAGCAATATTTCCAAGCCATGAGTTGTTTAGCGTAGAAAATGTTGGAGATATTGAAGAAGCAGAAAAGGTAGTTGAAGTAGTARAAGGGACAAATGGTGAAACACAATCTGCARATGATGTGATACTAATTTCCAAGAAAAAACAAGTTATATCGAAGAGTAATTGGTGGATACCATCCAAACTTTCAAATCTCACAAGAGTATCACTTTTCTATTGTACAAATCTGGAACATGTTTTCTCTCTTGGCATGGCTGCTAGTTTAGTCCAACTGCAACACCTAAATATAGTGTTATGCACCAATTTGAAGGTAATTGTGGAGGCAGTGCGAGATTCCACTAACGAGGTGGTTTCCTTCCCTTGTCTAAAATCCTTACAACTTACTAAACTTCTAAGATTGGAGGGATTTTGCTTGGGGAGTGATMAGGCTTTTCAATGGCCATCATTAGATACTTTGATAATAGAAACATGTCCAAGAATGACAGTTTTCACCAAGGGACAGTCTACTAYTCCAAAGCTAGAGGTAATAGGAACAGATTTTGGATGGTGTRAGGCAATGGATGACATCAACTCCTTTGTAAGGGAAAAAATACAACAGGTAGGTTTGTGATATTCAGTTCCCTCTAATTTGTGAGATTAAGTTATRTTATTATAGTATGAACATTCTTGTTTTAATTACTGGATACGAATTCTAGAGAAAGATTGATCGAGGTTGCAACTGCGTGTACTTTGGATATGCAATCATATTGTTCTGTGGTATATACTTTTTAAAACCATTTAGTAGCATCCCAACATKTATTCTGTTTTAAAACCACCATGTGAAAACAACACTACTTAATCTAAACCAAGTGGCAGATGAGCAGGCAAGTTTAATGATACGAACCGAATCCAACCCTAGGGTTAGGACTCGAGAAGTGCCTGATTTCGAGAACAGGTAATCTCCACAAAAGTCAAAGACTCTCTTATTTGATTGAATGCCTGTACAAGAAACAATGGATCACCCTATTTATAGAGTCCCGCTAATAAGGAAACCTAAACCAAAAAGGAAACCTCTAAAAAAGAAGAAATTWTTCTGCTCATAAAAGAAATAACCGAAATGCTTAAATTAGGAGATTATCTTCCATTCTTAACCTTGTTGCCTTAATTGTCTCCTCTGGTAAACTTGGCCATATCGTCCAGGTATATCATTTAATTAGGTTTGAATAGCTGCTGCTTAATGTAATTAATCATTGTATTTATGTCTTGCNCTCTGGTAAACTTGGCCATATCGTCCAGGTATATCATTTAATTAGGTTTGAATAGCTGCTGCTTAATGTAATTAATCATTGTATTTATGTCTTGCGCTAGGTGAATTATTGGGGAAATTAACAAGTACAGAGCAGCAGATGTTCACCCAACCAAGCAGGCATGTGGGAAAGGTCAAGGTAGCAGACAACGTAGAAGATGAAGACAAATTAAAGTAACATCAAGGTGTATTACTATAATACCTGTCAGGTATATATATACATATATATATATATATATATTTATATGTTTGTGTGTGTGTGTATATATATATATAGGAGCAAGTCTAATAAAAAAATGTGCTAAATAATTTCAGCAGGTGTATATTGAGCTGGTATAATTTTCTAAATAGCTCAAGTTTGAGGGTTTAACCTTGCTAAACCCATGTGTAAATTTGAGTTGATAGGGTTGAATCCCCCTTTTTATCTCATCTTCCAACCATGTCTCAACTAAGTATTTTTTTTTTTCAATCCCAGAGAAACCTCAAGAAGCTAAGGAAAGAAAATCGATCGAAAGACGGGAGAGAAAAGGAACAATAGTTTGAAGTGGGGGCTTGTCAATTTCCCGTTGATTGGAGGTAAGTTCTGTCCTAGCCTCGAATTTATGTAATTAGTAACTAGGTTGCGAATTTTGGGTTTGTTTGGGTAGAATTGGAGTCGTTTTGGTGGCCTGAAAGACATCGGTTCGGTTGATAATAATGGCAGCAGCATAGGGTTCGCTTAAGTCACCATTAAAACTCCAAAATTCTGCTCTTTCCCTCTTGATTTTAGTCCTAAAATAATGCTTATCATTGGTAATTATAGCTGTCAATGTCTTCTTGCCAACAGAGGTGTTGATCGCCAGAAAACGGGCCTAAACGATTCGATTTTCAGTTGAATTTGCTGCTGTCCCGTGGTCCAATAATTGAGTTTGATCTTCCGGACTGGGTTACTGGTTTGTCGTTAGATTTTGGCATCAAGGGGCTGAAATTAAGGTATTGATATTAGTATTTGGAGCTCTTTAAAATGCGTAACGTTCATGGAAATATCCCTTGTCCTCCTTTTTGAAACCGTTTTTGTCGCAACCTAAATAGATGAGATTTTTGAGTAGTTAAGTACATAATTATGGTTTCCTATTGGTTAGCTAGTTACCAAGTTCTAAATATATATATATATATATATATGTGTGTGTGTGTGTGTGTGTGTATGATGGATTTTCGGGCCGTTTAGAGGTGGGATCCATATATACATTATTTGATCAAAGCCTAGCAAAGTGATCATTTATAAAGCAAAGTCTTGAAAAGGGGAAATTCAAATTACGTGATTAATTTTAACGGAGCTTTTTGTATTATATAGATTGGATATAAGGGAGTAGGCTCGGTGATTTTTAGGCTTCGTGGAGTTTAAGGTATGGAGTCCTAACCCTTTTCGTTTATTTCATTCTTTTACATATTTTTTTGCAAACTCTAAAGCTCTTGTTTAACTCATGACAGTTCCAAATTGTTCATTACCGTATCTTCCATTCACTCGTATTTGTTCTACGTTATATATATATATGGCAAGGACGACTTGTCCTAATCCTGCTATTTGAGTTATTCGAGTTACTACAAATATGTGTTTTCTCCAAAAGATCACGTTTAATTGTTCGGTAACATTTTAGTATGATCTTTACCTCTAACTGTACTTACGTTGGTAGATGTGATCGGTTACGTATTGTTCGATTTGAGCCTCTTAATTGTTACAACTACTTGTTCATTCAACATTTTACATTGCTTATGTTGATCATTCATTCGATGTTGATACGTTTTGCTCTTACTCTTAATTGAGACTATATGACATCACATTCGTTGTGACAAGTTAATTCCGGGTAAGTCGAGCTACTAACCACCTATGGGGGTACCATAGGCACGACATTGTGGCACCGATGGCGTAACACTAACTGTGGCAATGTGATCAGTCCACGGCATATCCTCTTTTGTGCTCTTGTGAGAGCTATTTGGTGTGATGGATATTAGATTTAGGAGGCGTATGGATCAGCCCTAGCATATGTGATTCGTTTGTAGGGTGGATGTCGGTGTAGTGTCCAACGCCACATCTCACATTTATTACGTGTGAATCTGCAGTCCAACGTACAGGCTTGTGTAGCCATATGTCTGTCCAACGTACAGGCTTGTGTAGCCATATGTCTGACACTTGTCCTGTTGGTTGACATGCAAGTGTAAGCATTTTTCGACCTCGATTTGTCCCTTCATATGCTTTCGTATGGTTATGTTATTTGTTGATTTCAATTAGATTTTGGTACTCGTTTTGTCTGATATCTTGAGATTAATTTTGCCGTGTTTGTATTACCATTTTACTATAATTGTTTATCTGTTCACTAGACATTTGGCTCAGCCGTGTTTTCTTCTGTTCCTCGCGGCAGGTAATCAAGGGGGCGGCTAAGTCCTGTGACGGAGAGTAGACCAGGATCTCGATTTCAAAGGTTTCGAGAGGTTTAGTGCTATGTTATTCATTTATTGGATTTATTTCTTTGGCTATTAGACTAGCATTTCCTTTAAGGTTGTATTTGGATTTTTCTTGAGTTGTTGGAAGGTACTTGAAGTGGTTTGTTTGGAGATGTTTGTTTCTTTGTCAGTATATATTTAATTTCGTTACCGGAAGATTTTTTTTTTGTATTGGAGACTATATTTTGGAAGTTTTATGTATCGGCTCCGTTACGTTTCGAAGCGATCTACATTCCTATTGAATGGGGGTGTTACAATTACTGTATATGAACTTGTATATTTATAATCTTAGTATCTCCTGACCAGGTGGTTGTATCAGTTGAGAAATTGAAACAGTAATCACCACACATAATTTCTGCACAGTTATGAGCTATTTCAGCCCCTTGCTCTACTTCACTGCTAACAATATATGGTGTTTGGTACAAGTATGCTGCTTTCCTTTTCAAGATTACAACAACATATTATCTTTACATGTCCACTCTAGGTGCAGGGACCTCCATGCATCCATTGCCCCTCCCCCAGATGAAAAATGAAGATTACCAGTAATCTCCACAAGAGCATAAACCATCAGCGAAATTAGGTACATATCCAGCCTTTTGAATTTTCTTGATAACTTCATCTAAGTTAGCATATATACTCTCACTCTCAGGGTGTGCTTGATCATTCACAAGAAAACGATGAATCCTGTGCCCATGTTCAATAAAGTTGCAGCCGGCAGTTCTTACAAGACCTTTCTCCTTCATTAAAGCTCGAACTTTTGAAAAATATTTCCAACGACCAGCCTTAGCGTATATGCTCGATAGCATAATAAAATTTTTAGGGTCTAAGGGGTTTAAAGCAATCAGTTTTTCTGCAACTTCCTCACCAAGCTCTACGTCGACGTGTGTTGACCAAAGAAGAAAGATTCAATCATGCCCACGCACAACTCAGAAATGTTATCGAATGTGCTTTTATGATAGCAGGATTCCCAATTTTTAAACAAGTGGCCCCTTATCCTTTTCGAATACGAAGAAACATTGCAATTGCTTGTTTCGCAATCCATTACTTTATAAGAAGATTCAATATGCAAAATCAATTAATCATGGACTACGACAATAACCTCGTGTTCATCAATGAAGCACAAGAACAAATTGACGGAGGCGAGAAAGAAGAGATAGATGCAACGCCTTGGGGTCCCTAAGACAATGAGTACATGGTTAATTTGCGTAATGAGATTGCAAATCAATTGGTGTTAAATGTTTCAAGTTGTATGTTGTAACACAACATATTGGGTTTGAACTTGCGTTTCATGTGATGTTTTGTTATGCCAAAACATGAACAAACAATTGTTATGCTTGTTTAGATTGATATGATATCATGCATTGGCTTGGACCGTTAATTATTTTCTATTTTTCATCTAGAAATTTCCATCTGAACTTTTGTTCGACGTTAATTTTCATTAAACACAAGACTAGGGTAAAATGATAATTTTATATCATTCAAATGGTTGATCCATAACAGCTCCCAAACAACCATTTTCATATATAGACTAAATCATTCTGATCACTTAATCATTCTGCACTCAATCATTCATTAATTGCCAAACAGCCCCTAAGGTTACCCATTGCTATTTTTTGGTTATGGCTCTTGTAACATCCACCCTCTTAAATATGCTTAACTAGTGATTCTAAATATGTATTATATGTTAAAACATGCTTTATGTGCTAATTGTGTAAAAAGAGAATTTGCTAAAATGCTTAGTGTACTAGTTAGCTATAAGTAGAAGCCATAGTTAGAATGAGATGTAGGAGATAAGTTTGGTTCTAACATCTCACAAATGGCATAACTAGACGATGTGAGGGTTCAAAATACAAAGTGCATTGCCTAACTGAATCAGGTAGGTAACTAGAGTGCCTAAATGGGAAAAATCTACCCAAAACTTGAACGAATGATCTAAATGGTGATGTAATGGTTGGAACACCTATGAATAAGTTAATATGAAGTGTTAGAAGTGGCGGAAGTCGAAAAAGTCGCGTAGATTGCATTTTATGCAAGTTTTACAAATTACGTTTTTTTTTTGATAAACTACGACACAACACTCAAACGGGACGTGTTTGATGGGATTTTAAGCTTTGGAACTAAGTTTTGGACCTATTAGGAGTTTCTGGAGGTGTCGTAAAATTTTTACTGGATTCCAGGCTCAAAATCAAAAAGGACAAAATTGCAAAGGAAAGCATAACACCTACAAATATGTAAAACTGCTTTTATTAGGAGGTTTTTTCTGGATTATTTTTATTGGAAGTTATAGATTATCTTGTTACGAACGTGTAGGCGAAAATCTCATTGGCGAAAAGTTATGAATTATTTTGTATTACGTGGTCAATGTTTTATCCTGTTTTAGAAAAAATTGTATAAAATCATAGAAAAATCGTATAAGGGTGAGTCCAGTGGCATTTGAAAGGTATGGCTTCTTAGTGTATTTTATATAGAGATGTCATAATCTAATTACAGCTTTAAGATGGGTAAAAAATGCACTTTGCACAGTGCTGTCAAACTGACAGCCTATACCTGCTGTGTTGCAAAATTTGTAAAAAATCAAAGAAAAATCTTGTAGATACAATATCTGTTCCATTGTAAATATAACTGAGTCTAGTTTAATTCACATTTAGATGTCATTGAGTAATTTTGAGGTTAAGTGGGGTAAAACAGGGCTAGAACACAGTGCTGTAATAGGAAAATTAAATTAAGAAAGTTAAATTCATAGGATATCACCTTGACAAATTCATAGGATATCACAGATAGACAACAAAAGTTCAATTATTTCCAAAATCATCTCATCAAATGGACAACGTTTTAAAACAAACCTTAATGAAACCAATTTCTTTGGCGTTGTTGTGGAAGCATTGTCTGCAGCACATCAGCCCGTACTTTCGAATCAGTCCATGCGAGTTACTTTTCAGAATGTACCTATCTAATTGATATTTGATATTCCCTTTCTCATTGGAACAAATCTAAGCAAATAAGGTGTTATAATCTATAAACTTATCTCTTCCGATTGCACTTTGTCTCTGCCTTATGTACCTTGATATATTGTTGTCCATTCTTATGAATAATGTGACAAAACAGTGCTTGGGCTGTGGCCATGGTTCAACACATTCCTTGTAAAATTTAGTACATGATTTTTGGTCTGTTCGTTCAATACATCTCTTAGAGAACATATAATTTGTGTTGTATGTTGGTATCATTCTGCTACTTAAATGAATACTCTGGTTTGGTCAACCACTGGGGCCCCTTATGTTTTCAATTTCAAGACATGTCACCTTGAGGAATGACCATAAGCACCCCAAAAGCTTGTGCTACTGCATAGCAATGCATTAGTTCTGAAGCATCTTCTTGAACCATCACACCTTGATATGTGAATACTTATCTGTTAATAYTAAATTACTCTTCCCTGTTCTCTATGTTCTTGAGATCTWGGAGGTCCCCTCTTTTTTTCTTCTTGRCATGCCTTTGCTTGGTTAATTATCTGCATGCAGTACTGCAAGCTCTATCAGACGRYCACATTTTATTGATTATGGYGYCATCCTCATTTTCTTGCTCTAAYTACTTAGCGGCTTATTMTGTGCTCTCTCATACAAAAAGTTCCCTTTTCAATGCTTATTTGTCCAAAAAGATTATGTTAGTGGAATCRAAGGAGGAAATGGTTCATAAAACTTYACTGTCTTTGTTCTTTTGAGATCCGGGATACGGGGCTTCAAAATCGAAGAATAATTCTCTTTAGAATCATAAAAAACATCCACTAAGAACAGCTAATTGCCCTTCAAGATTAGRGAATGATTGAATTAGCCTTAAGCTCAGAGTTGACTTTTGAAAGTCAAGCAGGTGTTTTTCTCAGCTTCTGTCCAGCAGCTATCACTTGAGTTCAACACAATTTTTGACATACCAGAAGCTTGATTTTGAAAAAATTCAAAACATTAAAGTTGTAGAACTGTGCCTTAGCTTTCCATCCGATCTGGACTCATCAATTTTGGATATGTAAGAAGGGAGATATGATCAAAATGGTACAACCGTGCAAAGCTGACAGCAAAACTCTGGATTCATTAGGCTTAACTCTCGATACACGCGGCTGTAACTCTAAAGACATTGAGCTGTAACTCTGAAGATTTCATACTTGAATAGCATAAAGTATTATTAAACAATCTAAAGAATAACATCTGATGTGTGTTTGGAAATCCGTTAATCGCACAATTCTCTTTCCAAATCTCTGGTCAATCAAAATTTGAAGTTTAAATGATCATAAACTTCATACCTTCAGTTTACAAAAAAAAAATGACATCCCACCGCATTGCGCTTATAATCTCTGTTAACATGAATGCGTTTTTTAGAGTATATGGTAAATAAGCTTGATATAGAGGAAAGCAAAGTTCCATAAATGTGAAAGAGGGGCTAGATGAACAGTTGGGTTGGTAACTTAATATGAACACAGTCTCTATGAGCTTAAGCTCTTAGTTGGGTTGGTAACTTAATATGAATAGCTGCCATAAACAGATTAATAGGCCGTCTTTTCCATTCTCAACATTTATTCTCAAACCAACACTTTGAGGATCAAATGCTTACTCACCCACTATGTTTTGAACATGTGATATACCAAAATGGAACTCTCAAATAAGATACACAAACATCTTTCCTGTTAGAGCTTGGTCTCGACTTTGTTTCTGGGTTCGAAATGGGATATTGACCATCGTTTTATCTCAAGATGATAAAGAGAGAGGGTCGTATATAGAATATTATAGCATATATATACTTCCTTTTACATATTTGATGATCGAAAACAGTAACTTGAGCTGTGGAAAACAGTAAAAACATGCCTTCCAATTGTGGTTCCATCTTTNATATATACTTCCTTTTACATATTTGATGATCGAAAACAGTAACTTGAGCTGTGGAAAACAGTAAAAACATGCCTTCCAATTGTGGTTCCATCTTTTTATGCTTCTTTCCCTTGCACAGTTTCTCCTGCTTATGGATGCAAATGTCATGTGGTTATCCCAGATGATGCTGCAATCGAGAAGGTAACACTGATTTCAACTTCTGAACTAGAAACTTGTTGTATTTTACACTACAGACAAACTGATCAAATTGGAAGTGCTATAATTTTTCTTTGCTGTTTTACTTGTGTGTTGTCTTTTCTTATTCTTTTTCAATTTTTAGCATTGTCTTTCTTATATTCAAGTTGTATCATTTTTTTCATGTATTTTGCACGAGCCAAGGGTCTTCAAGGAAACAAGAACTCTACTCATTGGGCAGAGGTCAGGTCTGCCTACATCCCACCCTCCCATGACCTCTCCTTCTGGTAGGACACATGGAGTTTGTTTTGTTTGGTTTAGTTAAAAGAAAGTCAAATTACATATCCTTTTACATCAAAATGCATATGTGAACCTTTATTACTCGATCATTAACTCTTTTAGCACAAAGCAGATAGAAAATGCACCTCCCTTACTTGAAAGTTGGAACTATTGAAGCTAATCCGCATCACATCGTCAATCTCATCCATTATGAGGTGCTCTCAACTTTGTACCTAAATTGATCCAAATTTATGTGGTGTCTCGATTGTTTGGAAGTGGTTTATATTTCATCAAAATGATATTTATGTACTTTAGAGTTCGGGACTAACCAGGTCAATGAGGCACTAATGTGACGATTGATCTGTAATTTAGTATAGTTTACATTTTATGAACTTCTATCATCTTATGGTTTGTACGGTGATTCAGGAAGTTGGCTTATTATCTCACCAATAATGTTTTCTTGCAGTTTCACCTTGGTTACTATTGACAACCATTATATGACCTTCAACTTTACTTTTCCATTTGATTTTGCTAATAACACCATATTATCCTTAAACTTTATATATTAGTTGACTTGTAAAATAACCACACAAACTCATGATTCAAGGCTAAACTAAAGTTTCAGAATTGTGACTCACCCGCACGATATACACCACTAATATGTGTATATATATATATATATAGAGAGAGAGAGAGAGAGAGAGAGAGAGAGATGAGTGATCAAATACAAACCACCCAATTTGTACAAACCATGCAAACCACCCTCATCCGTCGATTTCATTGTTTAATCTTATTAAATTTTTTCATGAAATTGTTTAATCTAGTGAAATTGTTTCATGTATTTCTTTAAAATTATAATAATGAAGATGATAATATTCATGATTAACACCTTTCACAATAAAAATGATTAATCAACCTCTTATAATTACAAAAAAAAAAAAAAATTAAACAAAATGAAAAATTATGATTGGTTGAATGAAGTTTGTATGGTTTATACAAATAACGTGGTTTGCAAAGTAAACCTCCTATATATATATATATACATATAGGGGAGCGATCAAATGCAAACCACTCAATTTGTACAAACC